TGATCAAAGTCACGAAGTTTCTGTTCCCGGAGCAAGTACACCATGAATAGTATTGCTCAATGAAATGCAGTCGCGTCACTCCAGTACGCGCCGGGCGTTATACAGCCCTAGACTTTTTTTTATCGCAGAATATGCAAGCACGTGACAACAAGAACACACACACACCTAATTATACACACACACGCACACACACTCTCTCTCTCTATCTATCTCTATCTATCTATATCTCTCTCTCTCTCTCTCTCTCTCTCTCTCTCTCTCTCTCTCTCTCTCTCTCTCTCTCTCTCTCTCTCTCTCTCTCTCTCTCTCTCTCTCTCTCTCTCTCTCTCTCTCTCTCTCTCTCTCTTAACCGGATCACTGGTGATCAGCACTCTAGCTGACACTGATACACACTTTGGCACCCACTGCCCGCAGAGATCAGCTTCCCTGAACTTTGAACTTATGTACAGCAAACCTGGTATTTTGTCCAAGTACCTGCTACGGGTGAAATCCCGATAATTCGAATATGGCTTAATTCGAACATACCGCTTAATTAGAAGTTTTTCCAGGACTGATTTCTGTCAATACGAGAAAAATTGTGGGATTTGTGCTGATAATTCGAAGTTAGTACAGTGTAATTCGAAGTTCACTGTACACTGTGCTGGTCAGTTCAGTTTGCATGAGCAGGCTGTGCCGGTCAGTTCAGTGTCCGTAAAATTTGTGTCTAAGGGACCATCGCAAAAGTTCGCAGAAGCCCCTGAAACGAAGAGCATACGTTTGGGGGGGGAGGGAGTCGGTGTCGAAAATCGCAAACCGGGCTTCAATTCAAAAAAGTATTGACGACATGTAGGAGCTGATATAGATTAGCATGCTCAAAGGATACAACTGCATAGCTCTAGCTGTTCTCGTTCTTAGATCACCCACTGCAAGGTGATATCATCGTTGCATTTATAAAGTGCTGTACATTGTTACACACTGATACAACAATGCTTGTGTAGTATATTATAATAATTATTATGTGTGAGCATCCAAGTGAAATAATGAAGCCCATATTGTGACTGTCGTTTCGTTTGAGGGGGGAGGGAGGGGGGTCAGGCCCGAAACTAACGGTCTTCGTTTCGGGGGCTTCTGCGAACTTTTGCGATGGTCCCTAAGGTCCATAGCGTAACTCTGCGTGACCATGAGAGCATTTTGACATACTGTAAAAGCCATTATTCTAACGAGGCGCGTATATAACGATTTCCCAAAATCGACTGGTTTACGTGTACCAAAGGTAACGATTCTCAATTATTCTCAACGCTCAATAGGACAGTGTATGTATCGATTTCTGTATAACGATTTTCATTTAACGACAGATTTCTCCTCGTTAACTCGTTAGAGTTAGGACTTCGTTATACAGTCAGACCTCGCTTATCCGGTCCTCGTTTATCCGGATCCCTCGCCATCCGGAAGAAAATCGGTGGTTACAAATGTACAGCATATGCCATGCTTACATACAGTATGTGTGTTCGATTATCCGGTTCCCTCGCCTATCCGGATATTTTTGTGGAAAACGGATGTGTGCGGTTATGCGAGGTCTGACTGTATATATATATGGCTTTTACAGTTGATATATATGGTGGTAAAGACACACCTGGCAATATGGCGGTAAACTTTTACAGTATATAATTTATTGTATTGTGGGTTCATGTTTGGATAATTAGAATGTCCGAATAATTCGAAGTTTTTTCCTGGCTTTTTGAGGTTCGAATTATCAGGGTTCCACATGTCGGAGACTAGATTTCTGCTGTTTGTAAATTGTGGTGCTTCTTTTCTCTTTTCTCTCTTTTTTGTGCTTTTTTATCTGTCTCCATTGTTGTGTAATTGCAGACGTCGCTATAAAGCGCATGGACAACTTCACCACGATATCCGTATTGGAACAAAACGCCTTTAGCATGATTGTACACGGCAGATACATGTTTGCCCTGCAAAGCAAGACGTCATCGGTAAGGACACAGTACATGGTTTGCCAAAGCCGCAAGCGGTTGTCCGTTTGGGGGGGGGGGGGAGGGCAAAGTCCCGTTGAATGCACCCCTTGCACAAACTATGCCACTTGAGATAACTATGCAATATCTTTTTCAATAAGTCTCATCAAACAAATGTTTGGTGCTCAAGTTAGTAGAGCAGTACCGTACTGTGATCCCCAATAAACGTACTGGTATACCAAGCAGTGATTTGAGTGTGAGCCAGTGTTGCTCACAACCAATTTTTTACTAATGAAGCTGCGTGATGCGTCCTACAATATTTTAAATGGTATACCATAGTACAAGAAACTAACTCTCCTCCTCCATGCACTCTAAAGCCAGGGTAGCAATGGTCGGCTTTAGAGCGCATGGAGGAGGAGAGTTAGTTTCTTGTATTATTCAACAGCCGAAAGGTACCGTTCAACAGTTTATTGATATACCATAGTGTCGCGTATAGAACCATGACTCGAATAGAAGCCGATTTTTCGAAGCCCCTCGTGACACAGAAGCACGGTTTGAATAGAAGCCACTCTCTGCAAAGAAACGTGCAAGTACTTGCACAGTACCTGCGTGGCAGTATGCACTGCACAGTACACGCATGGCAGTATGCACTGCACAGTGTACACTGATGATGTTGACGTAGAAGCATGTTTCAAATAGAGGCATAACGGAGCATGGTTTGAACCCCGGCTTATACGGCCGTATGAAAGCACCTGCTTTTATACGCCACATTACGGTAGTTTGTACTCGGATGGAGGGCCAAGGAAAAATTTGTAATTTGTAACTGGTGGTGTAGGTGGACATTATAGCGTAACTTGTAGTTCCTTGATCCTTTTTCTTTTCTACAAACGTGCAAGTACAGTTCTATTTTTCCCAAGGTGGCCTGCTCTGTACTACTCAAGGAGACTGTACTAGTATTGGAGACTGTTCTTTTGTTGATTTGGGCACGATTGATCGCCCACCATGGGTGTCATGCCACTCATAATAGTGGTGCCTTTCGGCCGTAGATGCCTTCAATAACACTCCAGCTAAGGTACCATGCAGTGGAGAAAAGCACAGCGATGATTAGTCGGTAAGAAAACGAAGTAAAGTGGATGCGGGTACATATACCCCAGTAATGCCCATCACCTCATGCTGGCATGTACAGTCAGACCTCGCTTAACAAACATATCCGGATAGGCGAGGGAACCGGATAATTGAATACGCATACTGTATGTATGCATGACATATGCTGTAAATTGGTAACCAAGGATTTTCTTCTGGATGGCGATGGATCCGGATAAAAGTGAACCGGATAAGTGAGGTCTGACTGTACTACTATTAGAGGTGCGTCCTTTTATATTTTCAATCCACACTCAACGTGTACTACTATTGCAGACATGTACCGTAAAGTACCGTTGATCCGCCCCCACGCCATGTCGCTTACCAGCTGGGTTTTCGGCAGGGGGCGGGAATTAGATCAAGGCTGTCAAGTACAGTACGATGTACAGCAACGTAGAAGTTCAGACTCGATTTGCTGGATTGTGCACATTTTCAGCCTGGATTGGCAAATATTGTGTACAGCAGTGCATGCGTCGGCTCAACATCGTATTTGCGTTGTATACGCCGAAGTCGCTTCACAGGTAGAAAATCGACAGGGGGCGGGAATTAGAGAGGGGGCGGATCAACGGTACTTTACCGTACATGTGGTTAGTAGTGGCTTTACTCCCTCGCACCCAGACACTGCTTTTCTGGAAACAAGTTTCTATACTTGTACTTGCGATGGGAGAATCCGACGTCGCAGTGCTTTTTGGCTTTGCCAGGTCAAATTCTTGAATATTGCATCAAGTGCATTGCTTTATCTGAGAGAGGAGATGTTCGTGCCCTTGAGACCCGAAGTCCCGTTTTCATACGAAAAATTAGGAGCTCTACGCTAAGCGCTTTTCAGGATATGAATTTCGGGTTGTTCTGGTCGGGTCGCAGCGTCGCAGACTATTCCATTGTCTTCAGCTTTGAAAAACTACAGGTCGTGTGAAATTACAAGCCGGTGAGGCGCTTTCGTTTTCCTCTACAAACGAATTGGTTTGGAAACACTGTGTTTGGAAACAGTGTCCAAGGTTCCTACTGCCATAGGAACAATCTGAGCCTCAACAAAGTGCGCACCAATTGTATGTGGTGTAGATGCTGGCCTAACAGTTTTTTTGAAACCAGAGGTCTATAATTAAATTTTAGAAACCCGCTATAATCAGATTGGTTGTACCATGGCCTTTTCTTCCTCTCACAGCCACCCTTAATGCTAGTCTCACATGATCGAGGCAAGTTCCAGCCTGCTCGATTCACTGACTTCGATGAGGACGACGAGGATGACGACGAAGAGACATTGTTCCACGTAAGCAAACCTATATTGTTTGTGCACACGCTTTGCACTCACTTGTGTGTGTGTGTGCGTAAAAAATTGAAAAATGAAAAATAGGGATTCACTGGCCAGAAAAAGTCACTTCAATCAGCTGTGTGGTGGATACCAGGCTAAAAATAGTGGCGGTCAATTCATCAGCCTTGCAAGCTGTTGAATGGTGTAATTCCAGCACAAGTTGCTATGTCTAACATAGCTGTTCGCTATCATCGCTTCCGCGATGGGCAGGTCTGAGGTGAGGTGAGGTGCGTGCGTGCGTGTGTGCGCGCATGTATGCATATATGTGCGTGTATGTGCGTGCATATGTACATGTATGTGCACGTAGGCCTTGACTTTAAGGATTCTGCCTGGCCTGGCCCCACATCACCACGAGTGCTTTTTAAAAACACCCCAAGAGTTTTCACCTTCCGGTTGTCTCAGCAGACAGTGTACCAATTTCGAAATGTTGTCTTCTCTCTCTCTCTATCTATCTATCTCTCTCTATCTCTATTTCTATTTCTCTCTCTCTCTCCCTCCCTCCCTCCCTTCCTCCCTCCCTCCCTCCCTCCCTCCCTCCCTCCCTCCCTCCCTCCCTCCCTCTCTCTCTCTCTCTCTCTCTCTCTCTCTCTCTCTCTCTCTCTCTCTCTCTCTCTCTCTCACTCACTGTGTTGTGATATAGGAGTACTTTGTTGTGGACACCACTGACGAGCAGGCATTCGTTGTCGGACTGAACAAAACCACTGGCCAGAGCACCCTGTTCATTTCAGACATTACCGGTGTGCAGTACACTATATCCATGGAGAACTTCACCTACACGCCGCATACTAAGTCACTCAACGCTTGGCTGGGAAAGGAGTAAGTTGACCAATAGAGAGAAGTGTTATGCTGGGCTTGCCACATTCATGCTACATGTATATCAGTACTTTTAGGGCAGGGTCAGTACCGATTTTCGTCTGATGATCGATTTACTCCGTGAAACCGCAACTGCTCGTTCTTCTGTCTGTGTATGCCGCTCTTTGCCTTGGGGGAATTGAGCCCTCTACGGACGGTGGATGAACTTCACATGGAGAGAAGCGCAGCTCGAGTTTTAGACTAAGAGTTTGTAGTTTAGGTTTCTGCAGACACTTCACAGTATACTAGAAAACCGGGAACCGGGAATTTTCCCTGCTGTAATATTTTCGGTATTGCCCAAAATCAACGGTTCGGTAGTGCGAAAATTTCGGTAAACCATTTCTCCGTACTGCAGTTGGCATGGCGTGCATGTACGTCATGATATTTTCGGTGCGTTTTATTCTAGGTAAAAATTACCTGTACCGAAGTTACCGAAAATAAGTCTCTACCGGAGTTTTCCGGTTTTACCGTACGTTAGAGTTCACGGTTATGATCTATTATACGCTCAAGTGCTGACAAGCTGGTTGGCAGATTGCTGAGAAAAGAAGACATTTTTAAGATTTGACTGCAGCTAGCATCCTGCAGGCTAGCCCTGGTTAAGGTTAAGGGAGGTGCCTGGATATTATAATTATTGTTGATCCGGATAAGAGAATCTATTCCACTGAATATGAGTTTTGAGGAGGGTCATGCACAGTACAAGAACGTGTGTGTGCGTGCGCGCGTGTGTGTGTGCGTGCGCGCGTATGTGTGTGCGTGCGCGCGTATGTGTGTGCGTGCGCGCGTATGTGTGTGCACATGTGCGTGCATGTGTGTGTGTGTGTGTGTGTGTGTGTGTGTGTGTGTGTGTGTGTGTGTGTGTGTGTGTGTGTGTGTGTGTGTGTGTGTGTGTGTGTGTGTGCATGCATGGTTGTATACGTCTGTGTTCACCCGTGTGTTCACCAGGCGATACAACACGCCGGTTGAATGGTTTTCCGTCGCCGGCACAAAGTCCGTTTTCCTCGCAAGTCAGAAGTTTGGCAGAGTAGTACGTAGTGTGATTACGTATGATGCTGGTGGGGAATGGCACGATATTGAAACTGCCGCAAAGGACAGGAACGGCACCAAGCTGGAATGTGTGAGTGAGCTGAAGCTGTTCAAGGTACAGTGTATGCTTTGTAACTTGAAAGACAACGGTTGTGTAAGCCTTCCCTGACAGAGAGTACAGTTCGATTAAGGCTTGGAAGTACCCCTACCACCGTCACCACCGCCGCCAACACCACCGCCACCGCCAACACCACCGCCACCGCCACCACCGATACCAGCACCACCACCGCAACCACCGCAACCACCACCACCACCACCGCAACCACCACCACCACCGCAACCACCACCACCACCACCGCAACCACCACCACCGCAACCACCACCACCTCAACCACTACCACCACCGCAACCACCACCACCGCCACCACCACCACCACCACCACCACCACCACCAACAGCAATACCAGCAAAGCACCACCAGTCAGTCTAACTGTTGCACATTATTTTCCCTGCGTCGCTCGCTGTCTTGCAGAAGGTGTTGGATATCTTCCTTGATGGTCGTGATGAGGATGACTGTAATCTTCACCTGGACCAGTCACGCAACACCGGAGTCAATGCACACTTTCTCAGCTTAGCACAAGCACCGGGTATACTCATGGCATCTGGTTAGTACTCATGGCATCTGCTTACTGTAGAGTGACAAACTTTCGCGGCGCACAAATTTAGCATTTTTGTAAATTGGGCTGGTTCACGATGAGAAACTTTTGCGATTCTATCTCTTCAGTCGGATCTTGTACTGTCTACAATCAATGGATGGAGAGGTTTGCGGCGATTTATATAATAGCGAAGTTTAATCTCTAGCAAACAGTTTCTCACTTTACAGTAGTTGTTCTTACTTTCCCAACAGCAGCAACAGCAGCAGCAGCAGCAACAGCAGCAGCAGCAGCAGCAACAGCAGCAGCAGCAGCAACAGCAACAGCAGCAGCAGCAGCAACAGCAGCAGCAGCAGCAAAAGCAGCAACAGCAGCAGCAGCAGCCTTTCTTGTCCTTGTCAATACTGCTGATACTGGTGCTGATGCTGTTGATGTTGATGTTTGTGGTGTTGATGCTGCTGCTATTGTTGCTGCTGCTGCCGCTTTTCATCACACTTCACTTCTGACGATATTTTCGAATTTGCCGTTGAAATATTGCTGGTCAAAAGTGTGATATTCTCTCTTCTCTCTCTCTCTCTCTCTCTCTCTCTCTCTCTCTCTCTCTCTCTCTCTCTCTCTCTCTCTCTCTCTCTCTCTCTCTCTCTCTCTCTCTCTCTCTCTCTCTCTCTCTCTCTCTCTCTCTCTCTCTCTCTCTCTCTCTCACTCTCTCACTCTCTCACTCTCACTCATACACACACTCACTCACTCACTCACGTTCATATCTGTGTGTGTGTGTACTTGTGTGTACTTGTGTGTGCGTACATATGCACTTCTATGTGTGTGTGCGCGCGCATGTGTTTGTTTGTGTGTGTGTATATACAGGTAATTACGGAAGGAGAATGCAGAAGGCGGATGGTTTATACATCTCTACCGAGGGTGCCAGTACGTGGTCAAAGGTAAGCTTATCGAAATTTCGTTCTATTGCCCAGCACCAGTCACATCATGCATTCCAGCAAGTGTACATCACCCCAAGAGTGCCCAACTCTGCATATGGGGTCTGGCGCGGCGTGCTGCCTGCATTGCGTAGCCATGAGCTGTGAGCCATTGCATCAATATTGATCTGCTACGGTTTCCTGCTTCACAATCCGCTTTCATCGGAAGCTTCGGATGGTTTTGTACGTGATATGTCGCACACGGGCATTGCCTTTTTGAACTTACTTCATTCCACTTGAAATCGTTGAGGCTAAGCCGTATGTTAACTTGAATCCAGGCAGCTGGGTCATCCTGTCACTATGTAATGCAGGCAGCGCGTCGCGCACGGTGCCCATAGCTCGTTGATCAGGAGTTGCACACTCTTGGCGCTATGTACTCTTGATTCCGGAATCTCTAGGATGCATGTATGCTCCAGGAATGTCCTACCAGTGCAGTCCATACCAGTGTTCAACTTTTATCACAGGGCTAAGCGTATTTCCGAGGTGGAAACCGCATCCCCAACTCTCCAAGATCGCCTTGAAATCCACTATGTGCCGCCGTTGCTCTGCAGCGGTGAGTCCTGTGCAAGCCAGTACAACCTTGTGTTGTCTATTCGGGGTCTCATTACGGGGAGAAAAAGTTGTCTATTCGGGTTTCGTTACAGTTCACACCAGACCACCAGAGATACCAGTTTATTAGAGTCTGTAAAGCATATATCTCACGGGACGAGGACAGATTTTTAGACACCAACGTTAGGGAATGGATTCGACTTCTCATTAGGGCAAGGGTTCGACTACTCACTAGATTATCGAAGTTTGGTTATCTTAGGGGTCGTCCGTAATTTTCGAAAAATTAAAAAATCCGTCCTCGTGCAAAATTGTCTCTGACCCACCCACCCACCCACCCCCCAATTTTACCCATTAATTTTTTGATTTTTACCCATGCCCAGCTTGAAAATAAGAACTCCTGACCCCACGTTTTCTGACTGCACCTGTGTCAAGTATTAGTAGCTAAGTACAGTGAGTAGTAGGTCTACCGACGTCACGGCCATGCACCGTCCTACAACTACATGAAAAGTCATGTATCATAGTAGATACTGGTGTTTGCGACAATCGATCCTACACTACGTCTACAGTACAGTACACAGTCAGCTATATACTGAATCAGTGCAACAAGTGTATGAAAGTCACTGGAGCGAAAAAAAAGAAAAAAAGTACGAAAAATCAAAAAATTAAATTCCACCAGCACTCTTGACCACCCACCCCCTTTTTGCCTGAGGACGGATTTTTAAATTTTTCGAAAAATACGGACGACCCCTTAGAGTGAACTAGAATAGAATGTACGGTGCAATGCATGAGCGCGCCCATTTAGCTGGGCGCGCATTATTATGTGTATAGCCCGACTATGTACACTATAAAGGGATGTAATTAGATCAAATGTACGGTGGTTTTTATGTGCAGGGGCAGAAGGAGGGAAAACGGGCTACAAATGTGTACGGTACTAATTATAACATGCAGGGGCAGCGGGGAAATGGGTCAAATATGGTTATAAGTGTGTACGTGCGAACTACTGCATGCAAGGCTAGGGGTAGGGGGTAATGGAGTGTGTACGAATTACTGCATGCAGGGCTAGGGGTAGGGGGTAATGGAATCATGCCGGGGTCGGGATCCAAATATATGGGATGCGTATAACATTACCTCCCCCCCCCCCCCCCCGTGGGGAACAAAAATCGTGTCCCCACGATCTAGGAAAAAAATTGATAATACTAAGAATTAGTCATGCATTGTAACAAGCACACGTATACGTACACGTACACCACTACAGTAAGATCGGACGCTGAAGAACACCTCGCCGAAGAACACCTCGCCGAAGAACACCCAGGCTGGGAAACCGGCAAAATTTAAGAACAGTCCAGGCTAGAATTATCAGATTTAAGAACACTTTTAAAATTGTATACATTGTACATGTATGGGAGGTGAGTACATGTCATGTACACGTGTAAACAGTAACTGCTACATGTACAGTCATTCCCATTTACGACACCCACTAGTTTAGAAGTACTACATTGCACTACATGTACATGTACATGTACATGACAAACGTCATGACGTCACTCAACTCGCCGCGCGCGTGGGAATAAGAACGGTCTGGCTAGAATCTAAAATTTAAAAGAACTTTCCTAGGCTGCGCTCGAGCCCCTGCGTTCTTCGGCGCCCGATCTTACTGTACGCACATACAAGTCAAACATGCACTCATTCCGCAGATACCCACATGTACAAACAGAACACGTGTAAGGCAAGTGAATGATAGAAGGAGATGTAGAGAAAAGGAAGAGGGAACCAAAAGAAGAGTAGGTGCAAGCAGAGAAGATCAGGAGTCGCGCATGTTGTTGTTCTGGAAGTGGAGTAACTTCGTTGGGGAAGTTCCTGCTGCTAGTCGGGGTGCAACGGACGTAGAACTGAGGATGCAACATCCTGAGGTAAGCTCAACTCATAACGAACACAAAACACAACCACAAGCACACAACAAGAATGCAAAGCTGTTGGGGGAAGCTCAACAGCGAGGACGAACACTCAGCTGGAGGCGTGGAAACAAATGGGCCAAAGGTGAGGGAAAGAAGCTAGGGAAATGATGATTCCTCGCACTTGGGAAGGGCTAAACTCCACAGCGAGGACGAACACTCAGCTGGAGATGACAAGCAAAGGGGCTTAATGAAATGATTGTTGGAAGGGTAAATAGAGGGAACTTTGGAAGTTGGGAAATCGCAAAGTCTGAATGAACGAAAATTATATATATATAAACCGTGACAGTTGGAATTGATAGGGTCAGTTGGCGTGAAAATATTTAGAGGTGGAAAGAGGGATCTACACCACTCTACATAAAAACTGCTACGTCATGAAGAAAAACCAGACAGTGGAGGGAGTGTCAACGTCGACAAACATCTCGGCACAAATGGAAGGGGAGGGAGGGGCGTCGAGGATTCAAACATCTCGACACAGATGGAAAGAGGAATAGGGCGTGGAGGATTCAAAGCATCTCGACACAGATGGAAAGAGGGAAAGGGCGTGGAGGATTCAAAACAACTCGACACGGATGAAAAGGGGGAAGGGGCGTGGAGGATTTCTAAAGCATCTCAACACGGATGGAAAGGGGGAAAGGGCGTCGAGGATGCAAAACCTCTCGACATAGCAAACGTGTATGAAGAACAAATATTACCACACAGGGAAAGTTGAGGTAGGAGGGGAGAAAAGGCACATTCCATCTCAAGCATTCAAACATGTCTTCCTGTGCGTTTCTCCAAATGAATAGGCATAAAACGGTCAATGGGGAAGCGTCTGCGGTATAGTAACAACAAGAGTTACTAAACACAAAGCTTGTGTTAGAGAGGATACAACTTCAGACGAAACAACAAATTAATGAGTCTGAAGAGGCCAGTCACACAGTCAAGGGTTATACTCTGGTGGTCTAGTGCCATGAAAAACCAGCTCCAAACACTTGACAGTATGGTCAGAATGGATATTGTCACACAAGGGGGCACTGGAGTAATAATTATTCTCAGGCGGTCTAGTACCATGGAAAAGTCTGCCTGCAGCACCAACATTTCCCACAGCAATCAGTGCAAAAGGGGTGCAGTCATTAAAATCTGGGGGTCTTGTACCGTGGAAGTGTACTTCCGAGTTACTAATTACACTATCCGGGTTCTCGTTACGGGGAGAAAATGTTCTCTCTTCGGAGGATGCAGTGGCAGATGTTGATGGGTTTGCCGCTCCTTCCACAGGGGAACCTGTGGGCGAAAAATCGTCCAACTCAGCGAATGAAAAAGATTCCATTCCATGCCAAGTGGCGATGGGATGATGCTCACGCAAAACTATCGGGGAATCTGACGGATTTAGTAAACGAACAGGAACTTCGCCGGTAACACTCGACTTGACCAAGGTAGAACCTACTAGTACAGAACTGCAATTAGGGGAGGGCATTCTCTCAACCAAGCCAGTCGAGTAAGAACATGCAATTCTGCCTATGGCAATTACTTCTGAACTCAGTCGGTAGAGCATGAGACTCTTAATCTCAGGGTCGTGGGTTCGAGCCCCACGTTGGGCGCCAATGTTGTCTATTCGGGTTTCGTTACAGTTCACACCAGACCACCAGAGATACCAGTTTATTAGAGTCTGTAAAGCATATATCTCACGGGACGAGGACAGATTTTTAGACACCAACGTTAGGGAATGGATTCGACTTCTCATTAGGGCAAGGGTTCGACTACTCACTAGATTATCGAAGTTTGGTTATCTTAGAGTGAACTAGAATAGAATGTACGGTGCAATGCATGAGCGCGCCCATTTAGCTGGGCGCGCATTATTATGTGTATAGCCCGACTATGTACACTATAAAGGGATGTAATTAGATCAAATGTACGGTGGTTTTTATGTGCAGGGGCAGAAGGAGGGAAAACGGGCTACAAATGTGTACGGTACTAATTATAACATGCAGGGGAAATGGGTCAAATATGGTTATAAGTGTGTACGTGCGAACTACTGCATGCAAGGCTAGGGGTAGGGGGTAATGGAGTGTGTACGAATTACTGCATGCAGGGCTAGGGGTAGGGGGTAATGGAATCATGCCGGGGTCGGGATCCAAATATATGGGATGCGTATAACACTTGAATGTGGCATTTGCCTGCCTCCAAGGGTGGGGAGAGGTGGGGAGGGGGCGGGGGGAGTAGTTTGGAGGATATGCAATGCACGTCACACAGTACGTCCACTCAAATGTCTTCTATGCATGGGGTTTCTGTGTGCACTTTTAAACCCCACAAGTGAGCATTTCGCCACTCAGCTAGCTCCCATATAAGGCGGATTGGACGTCATTGTATATCCTCGATACCTTATTTGCTGGCAGCTGAGAGTGCCCGGGCATGCTCGTCTGGTCTTCAAGTTTCTTCTGTTGGTTTTGTATGTTGTATGTGCTGAAGGCCCTGTCTGGCGAATACCAGTTTCAGATGGGTGACCATGGCGGTATTATGGTCGCCGTCGACTACCCCAGTAACGGTCACCTCACCAACATTCTGTGGTAAGTCAGCGAATGGAGTGCTCGTCGGATTGCGCACTCATGATGATGCCATGGGCCCATGGTGTCATGATTCACAAAGAGAAGACGTTGCCAATGATGTCATGATGATGTCATGGTATCGTGATTCACGAAGAGAAGACATTGCCATGATTCAGGAAGAGAAGACATTGCCAATGACGTCATGGTGTAATGATTCACGAAGAGAAGGCATTGCCAATGATGTCATGATGATGTCACAATGATGTCATGAGTCCCCCACCCAGTCAGACTCCCTACGCCCCTGGCTCACTTGGCCAAAGTAAAGGCCCGTACAATACTGTCGGTCGCCGAAGAACTGGGGGTCAGCCTCCTAGCCTAGACCGTTCTTGTATTCATGTATTACAGTCTGGGCCGTTGAGTCACCGTGTATACATTGGTATGCTGTGCTTGATGAAATTCTAGCTTGACCGTTCTTCGGCGCTCCATTCTTTGGTGCCCAGCAGTGCTGTGCATTTACAAGATGTTGTATTGTGTGGCGGCGTTTCCCTTGGCCCGGCAGTGATGTGCGTTTAAAACTTTAAAAACGATTTGTATTGTCTGTTGTGGCGTTTCATCCCTTGGACACATGCACGCTTTGCAGGTACAGTCTCAACTATGGACGCAACTGGACAAAGTACGTATTCCACAGCACTCCACTGCACTTCTACGGTATCACAGTGGAACCCGGCCACCACTCGACCGTGTTCAACGTCATCGGTGCCGAGCGCGGAATCGGGGGCATTGTGATCCTCACCCTCGACTTTGTCGATATCCTGGGTAAGTGCTGGTGGTGATGACGTCAGTCAAGCAAAAAAAAGAAAGAAAAAGTTATCGCATGAGCTGATTGTGAAGTACCTGGTGGTGTTAGTGGACATTATAGCGTAACCAAGAGTATATAACCCCCCGGAGTGTACAACTCCTAATACTGTAAGACATGTATAATTATATAACGAGGAAGTAAATCTAACGTTTTAACGGATGACATTTCTTCGTTATAATAAGATCCGTTGAGGCCGTACTGCTTCATATATGTTGTGTGTGGATATGCCGAAATACTGTAAGATCGTTATCATATCTTCTCGTTAACCTATGAATTTTGGACAATCGTTAAATTTGCGACTCGTTATAATAACATGTCTTACAGTACCCTTTCTACGGGGTTCGCCAACGGCGAAAACTCACAATGTGTGTGGTGTAGTGTCCCAGTTGCACGTTTCCAGCCCGTTTCTAGCGAGCAGCGGAGTAATAATAAAAGCACTCCCTGGCAGAAACTCACTGCGCGTATGCAACTCGCCAGTATAATCATGGCAGGTTTTCGGATTGCGCGCACCCATATCCTTAGCTGTACGTTGTACAAAACGTACCTGAGACACGTGATGTGAGTTTTCGCCGTCGGAGACCCCGTATGCAGAGTTGCACACTCTTGGGGGCTTCTATACTCTGGACGTAACTTGTAGTTCCTTGGTCCTTTTCTTTAGTATAACAACACAGCTATGTATGGCATCGTCAAGGCTACCCAATCTCCAGGCGGCTTAGTGATATGAGGAGTACATGAAACTCATAGTGTGCAGTTTCTGATTGTGTCTGCATGGGTGGTGTCTGTCACGGTGAAATTACACGATTACGTCCTATTTGGTGCGGATCTAAGTGGCTGAGTTGGAGTTTTCGCACAATAAGAAAAGTTTATAAAAAGTAAAAAGGACCAAGGTACTACAAGTTATAGTGTAACTTGTAGTTCCTTGGTCCTTTTCACTTTTTATAAATAATCCTTGGCTCTCCATCCGAATAAGAAAAGTGTTTCTCCATTTACTTCGAAGTATGCTTGTTGCCCGTGTGCTGGTCAGGTCCCACCTACTATAGTGAATGCTTGCATCACACGGCCTAAACAACAGAGACCGACAACGTTCTCTCTTGTTTCTCCGAGTTTCTTGTTTAGAAACGCTCATTATACAGTCGACTCCTGATATAACGAACACCATTGTGCAGGAGAATTTGTTCTTTATAGCCGAAGTTCGTTATAACAGAAATGCAATAATACTATTCAAACAGGAAGTTATGACTGGAAAGTGGCCCATGACAGTACGAGTGCACTTGGTTTACATGCAACCCTACACGATTTGGTTTGTTGTAAACGAAACCTGTTCGCTATAAATGGTCAATTTTGTATGGGTTCAAACAGGGACATGGACAAGGGTTCGCTATATCACGAAATTCGCTATAATGCGAGTTCGTTATAAGTGGAGTCGACTGTATATGTGTTTGTTGTGTTCTGTGTGCCTGTGTGCCTGTGTGTTCACCAGGACCAAAGTGCAAGAAGAGCGACTATGCTGATTGGTCTGGACGTTGTCAACTTGGTCAGCGTACCGTGTATCAGCGACGTAATGCCAGCGCGAATTGCTACATTGGTATTAATTACAAGAACGTACACGCACCGGCATCATGTGAATGTGACCGTGAAGACTTTGAGTGGTAAGCGACAGCAGCAGCAGAAGAGGGCTTGGACATGCGGGCCAGGAAAGGATGTGTCTTTTTTGTCTGTCTCTCTCTCTCTCTCTCTCTCTCTCTCTCTCTATTATATATCTATCTATCTACCTATCTATCTATCTATCTATCTCTGTGTCCTTCTTCTTTCTCCTCCCTCATGCCTGGTGTGATGGGTGCTGGCTACTGCGGTGAGGGAAGGAGAGACAAAGAGAGGGACAGAGAGACAGAGAGGCAGAGGGAGGGATGATGATGATGATGATGATGTTTGGCGTGATGACGTTGGTAAGCTGCCCAACAGCTTGCGTCTCTGTTGCTGTGTCCTTTTTCAGCTCACCCGGATTCGAAGCTCCAGATCTCGGTGGCGTATGTCTTCCTACTGCCCATAATAAGCACTACTTGAAGGCAATCGCACGAAACCTTTCCTGCCTAGAGGAGGCTTCATCTTTTGTATTCAACAAAGGGTAAGGAAAAGAGGCTGTGTACACGTGTGTGAGAGAGACAGACAAGCACACACACACACACACACACACACACACACACACACACACACACACACACACACACACACACGAACGCACGCACGCACACACACACACGCGCGCGCGTGCACGCGCGCGCATCATGACCAGAAAGCTTGAAAAGGATGCCATTCTGATGTCAAGAGTATGTGTACCAACACCAACACCACCACCCTAAATAGCACCACTGTATGACCCTCCCCTGCCTCCCTCTTGCCCTTACCCCTCCCCTGCCTCCCCTTCTTGCCCCACAGGCACAAAAATTCGTTTTTCAGTTTTTTTGTTCAAAAATAATCAAACACACCTAATGTTGACTGTCTGAAAGTTTTGGATTCATCTGATATGTCTAAGTGTTGCTACAATGGTATTATATGCAGCACTGTTGCAATTGTGAAATTCTATGTACAGCAATGGGATTGTCATTTCTCTATGTAGTTGATATGTCCCTTGGTTCATCCTTTCCTGGTCAGTTCCTCTGTCTAGGGTCTTGTAGCATGGGTTGACAGGTACTCAGCCACATACAAAGTTTCCATAGGCAGCTGAGCTGGGTGTCTGAGGGGGGGGGGGGGGGGGGGGGATACTGTTGCCGCATGTGTACAGTTGAAACAAATGCTATCGCGGGTGCTCCCGCCTTGGCAGTTCAACCACCCATGTTGCTCTACTTTGCTTCATGTGTGTGTGTGTGTGTACGTATGCGTGTGTGTGTGTGTGTGTGTGTGCGCGTGTGTGTGCGTGCATGCATGTGTGTGTGTGTGCACGTGTGTGTACGTGTGTGCAGATATCAGCGTCTCCCCGGTGACAAGTGTAGCGGTGGGGCAGCTAGCCTGTTTGAGCCGCACACGATACGCTGCTCGGCGGCAGTCGGCGATATCTCCGTATGGCAGCGGTTCACCAAGCCCGACCGGAACGTCACCTCCGCCTCCATTGTCCTGGCAGCCGGCGAAGGTTTCCACTTGGGAGTGTTGCTGCCGGATGGGTACGGGCATAGTGCTAGTGTGGAGATTATCTGGCTGTTTGGAGACAGTGCAGCACTGACTACCAATCACCTGAACACAACCGTACGTCATGCCTATCAGACGCCGGGAGAGTATCACTTAGTTGTTAGCGCCACTTTCGGCCGCTTTGTCAAGCATTCGCTCACCAACATCACCGTCGTAGGTATGTGTGCGTACGTGTGTGTGTGTGGGGGGGGGGGGGGTGCATGCGTGTGTGTGTATGTGTGTGTGGGGGGGGGGGTTGTGTGTGGGGGAGGGGGGGGGGGGGATGTACAGTCAGTATCGCCTATAGCGTTGGTATTTGATTTTGAGCATTTTATCACTATAAGCGATATATTACTATGACCGATACTGCATGCAATGTATGCGAGTGGGGTGTCAAACGACTCAGCGCGCCGTGCACATACGCATTACATACATGTACATGATTGTACAATGTCATGTAGCTGGCTGTAGCTCCTGCCTGGCACACAAAATCAGGATTTCCTCATGATGGAGGCATATTTTGGCAACTTATACAAACAAAACTCACCAAACAACACTCACTGGACAAGTTCTTCACGAAGAAGTAACACCCTGTTCTCCTCTGACATTGCTTGATTTTACATCAATCACTATAACCGATGCAAAAATAGTGTAATAAAGGTCTTTTGAAATATGAATTTGATCACTATAGGCGATATAATTATTACTATAGACGATTATTACTATACGCGATAACTGTGTATACTTGGTTATGGCAAATGAAAATGAATTTGAGAAATTGATCGCTATATCCGGTATTATTACTATAGCCGCCAACCTTATAGGCGATACGGACTGTATGTGTGTATAGACTGCTTCTCTTGTGTAATCAACGGTGCTAGTAAATCTTATATCAGATCCACTCTGATTTAGCCATCCACACTACAGTAGTAGCAAGTATTACCTTTACTGGGGGCAGGGATAAGTGCAGCTGCATCCCGGGACGGATACTTTGATGCCGTCATTCCTTTTTCTGCACCTTGTTCCCACCCATGCATGTACGGCGGGGGGGGGGGGGAGGGGCGTTGCCCGGAAACCCCCCAGATGTTCCAAACGTGCAGCGTTCTTGAGCAATTTTTGGTAGGGCGCGCGATCGATCTGACAAGAATGCAAAATTTCAACAGATCGTAACTCAGTCAAATCTCGATCAAATCCAAAGATCCAAATATCCAAGTCGAAGAGAAAACTCTCAGCTGCCGCTAGAACCAGTTTGCAAAGCGCTGCGAGCAATGGTTCTTGAGATTCGTAAGTTGAGCCGCGATCTCGGCAATTTCGAAAGAATGCACCGCGACTTGAGTAATGAGAATTTGAGACTTTTCGTCACTCTGACTTGCTCAAATTTGCACGGTTTCGCTTGTAATGCTCTCAGGAGTACACAGCGAAAAATCGAAACTCTGCGATCGAGAAAAATGAAATAGCTGGAGCAGGGCACGTTTGGGGCATTTTCGCACTGTCGCTGTACTCTAGCACTGGCTATCAATACCATGGTTGACAGTCCTGGCTATCAATACCATGGTTGACCCCATTCTCTTCCGCTCCACACACACTACTTACCTTTCCAGGAAGCCCAAGATTTTGAAAATTGAGTTAGGGTGACCCTGCGTACGCGCCTGCCACCCACTTACCGAGGTGTAGTGAGCCCATAAGTGGGATCATTTTCAAGTCCACCCATAGTTTGGGAATTTCAGGGGGTGTCAGCCGTTGGGCAGTTCAATAGCCAATTGAGTCATCTTTCCAAGATTCCATTTTTTTGTCTCTCTCCCCTCTCCTGGGGAGATCCACGTGACCAGTTTTGACAGTCAGCAAGTGTGTGTGTGCGTGTGTGTGTGTGTGTGTGTGTGTGTGTGTGTGTGTGTGTGTGTGTGTGTAAGGAGGGATTCACTGGCCAAGCTGTGTGGTGTAGACCAGGCTGAATAGTGGCGGTCTATTCTTCAGCCTCGCAAGCTGTTGAATGGTGCAATCCCAGCACAAGTTCTGCCGTAGCATCGCTATCATCGCCTCCGGTGATGGGCGTCAAAAGGTCAACGGTGTGTGTGTGTGTGTGTGTGTGTGTGTGTGTGTGTGTGTGTGCATGTGTGTGTGTGTGTCCGTATGTCCGTATGCATGCGGATGTGCCGTACTGCTTGTGTGTGCATGGTTCTGTGCTCTGTCCTGCAGGCAAGCTGCCGGAGAATTTCTCAATTTCCACGGGTGTCGTCAAACCGAGTGGTCATATACACACGGGAGAAAAGGTGTTACTCTTGGCTAATGTACCTGGCAATCGCGTTGGCGTGAAGAAGGTGAGAATGAGCAACACAGTCGAGGATATGAAGGGCTCCAATTCAAAACGCGATAAGGCCATGGTAAAAAATAAAGTTGATTCTCAGGTCATGAGCCTGTGAAAATCGGTGCGAGCGAGCGATTTTTTATTTTAATTCCCACAATTTTTTTATTTCCAAAGATAGGGTCACACATGTGTACGTCACAGGTTCATAATTAATTTATAATTATTTTATTATTCAGGCCAGGGAGTAGAAAAATACCGGTATTTTACTACTCCCGGATTCATGCCTTTCGCATTGACCGTTTTCATGCACGCATATGTGCATGCATAGAAATAAAAAAAATCGTCGGTGCGCCGCCAAAAATCGATGCGCGCGTACTTGAGAATCAAAGGTATTTTTAACCATGGCCTAAAGACCAAACCAGAGATTTTGCAATGAATAACATTAGTTCCGTGGTCATACCACACAACAAAGAAGTCTCAAAAGAGGTTTAACCAAAATCGCTTTTCTTGTCACTCTCATCAGTGGATTTTCATGACTGAAGAATAATAGTGTACAGCAGAGCAATAAATGACTATTGGAATGATACATTTATACAAGAAACTTGAAAAAAAGTGCTAAAAAAGGAGCGGGAACAACGAGGTGAGATAGTAGTTATGAGCCATATACATTAAATCACAAAAATGAACAATGTGAGAACTCACGAATATAACTTGAGTGCTACTACATGCTTCTTTTGCCTACAAAGAACTGGCTTATACAGACGAATACACACAGCTTCAAGCACCTGTACTTGTCGAGTATATCGTGCGCGCCAAATTACAGTGAAACACAATCATCATTATACTTCTAAACACCTAGGGTTTGACAAAAAATGAAGATACACAGCAGACTTCTGACTATCACCATCTTCATCCAGCTCCTCCGTCCCGATGCTGCCGTCGTCGCCAATCTCATCATCGCCGTCCGCATCACCTCCGTCCATCTCGTCATTCAATTCATCGTCGTATTCCTTGTCGACTAACATACACAAACAGCAAGTCATGACTGACAAGTGGCCCATGACAGTCTCAGTGCACTTGGTTTACATGCAGCCCTGCAAGATTTGGTTCATTGTAAACGAAAACTGTTCACTATAAATGGTCAATTTTGTATGGGTTCAAACAGGGACAATGTCAGGGACAATGTCATGGACAATGGCTCGCTATATCACGAAATTCGCTATATGCGAGTTTGTTATAAGTGGAGTCGACTGTAGCTTGTTCGCTATCATCGCTTCAGCGATGGGCATGTGTGAGTGTGTGTACGTGTGTGTACGTGTGTGTGTGTGTGTGCGCGCGTGTGCGTGCGTGTGTGTGTGTGTGTGTGCATGCGCGTATGTGCATGCGTCTATCTGTACGTGGTGTCGTCGCTTCGGTGCTTCACAGTGCTAGGATTGAAGCGAATGCTCAATGCAGCGAACGAATACTCCTGTTCCCGAATATGCGTGTACGCCTGAAATGAAAGCACACCTTATGCACGATTACCTGGCTGTAACCTTGGTAACCATAGACCATCAACAGGTGGCTACCCGTATTACAAGACGGAGAGAGACATTTGAAAAGGACATTGTTATCATGTTGGCTTGCTGACGATAGCGCATGGAAGGAGAAAAAGCCTACTCAAATTCTGCACCGCATAGGCCTATTCCACATGGATATCAAAAAGGCGGGTTTCTGGACATTTACGAATATTCTTATTCCACATAAACGAAGAATAATATTAGGGAGGTTTCGCTCTACGGAATTACGTATGAAAATAACGTATGAACTGCACGGAACTTTCATACGTAAAATCAGAGCTGTTGGGTTTCGCTCTACGTGATTTCTCCACGACTGCTCAACATGCGTTGTTGCTTCGGAGACGCGTTGGCTGCATGCGCCCACCCCATGCACCATGAACCGAAACCGCGTTTTCCATGATATTTTGCACGTGGTGTACGGTGTGTGTACCTTGTGTTTCGCGCGGCTTGAATGTTGCCATGGACAAATGCGGAAATGCGAAAAAAATATTTCAAAAAGTCCTACGGAGGACCCAACGTAGGAAAGAGCTTTCCTACGGAAATCCGTAGAGAGATTTACGTATGAAAGTTGCCCTCGCTCCCCGGCGCGTACGACATACGGATTTTCATACGTAATTACGTAGAGCGAAACCTCCCTATTATTCTTTTTCCTGTCTGCATATTACGATTACTCGAATAATTCTAATACTATTCCTTTCAGCCTGTGAAGTTCGCACAACACTCATCCCAGCAGCTGACCTACACCTGGACGGTATGCGGTAGAAGGCATGAAGTCCAGACTATGTGGCTGGAGGTTGCTCCTGTTGCCTCCGGTACAGGCGATTTCCAATACTGGTGAGTTATTGCTTGTGACTGCCTTGTCTGGTGAGTCATTGCTTAGTCAAATGACTGTCTTGTCTGGTGAGTCATTGCTTTGTCAAATGACTGCCTTTGCCCATTTGTGTCACTTGTGGGAAAATGACCGAAAGTGGGTCACGTGTTGGCAAAAATGAGAAAAAGCGAGCCACTCGTTGGCAAAAATGTGCGAAAATGAGTCTCCCAATTACCAGCAAACATACCGATATTTTGCTCCGTTTTGCCAGCAAATTCTCTTGTCAAAGTTCTTCGATATTTTGCTAGCAGAATTGCTAGTATTACGTTTACTTGGGGCATGATCGATTGGGCGAATTCCGAGCAAGTGCGCTCCGAGTGAGCGTGATCGATTGGCTGAATCCAGAGCACTAGTAGGTGTAGTTGGAGTGGAGTCCGACCACACGGCCCCCACACCGGGAGTGGCCGGAGTGGTGGTGGACTTTGGTGTTGACAGCTTTCACAGACTCTTTGTGCGACATGTGTACATTTTGCGTACTACACCCTTGTTTTGTTCGATTGGGCCAGCGTTGCTCGGACTACACCGCCTGCTCACACTCAATCCAGATGCGCCAATCGATGACACCCTTAGTCACGTGACTACCTTGCCTGGCTGTTTGTTGCTTATTTTGAAGTAGTAATATGCTTGGCTGATATTTTTCAAATGTGCACATTATTTTCGGTGCACATGCTGGTTTTCCATGGAATACCATCAGCACAACTCTGTGTGTGTGTGTGTGTGTGTGTACGTGTGTACGTGTGTTTACATGTGTGTATGTGGGTGTGGGTGGGTGGGTGGGTGTGGGTGGGTGTGTGGGTGTGTGTGGGTGTGCATGTGGGCATGTGTGTCTGTGTGGGTGTGGATGTGCATGTGTGTATGTGCTCCAGCAATATAACCCTGCAGCTGAAGAATCCACTGTATGTGTCACACGTGGAACACTACACATTGAAGCTGGTCGGTAAGTCCTGCTCTACTGTTGTTATCGCTATTGCTGTTGTTGCTTTTGCTGTCGTTGCTTTTGCTGTTGTTGCTGTTGTTGTTGCTGCTGCTGCTGCTGTTTTTGTTGTTGCTGCTGTTGTTGCTGCTGCTGCTTCTGTTGCTTCTGCTGCTGTTGCTGCTGCTTATGTTGCTTCTGCTGCTGTTGCTGTTGCTGCTGCTGGCGGTGATATTGCTGTTCCTGTTGCTGCTACCAATGCCGTCGCTGCTGTTGTTGCTGCTGCTGCTATTGCTGTTATTACTGTTGCTACATAACTGTCAAGAGTGTGCAACTACTGGTCGGGGACTGTCCCTGCATGTGTACTGAATTGCGTTGCTTTTCACGACGTAACCAGCCCTACCCTGTGCGCATGGCACAGGGGTGTGATGCTGACTGCATACAATGCAGTATTTTCTGAAAGCAAGTGACCATTGAAACTGATGTAATGCTGAAAGCGAGGCGCTGTTGTCTGTTGTCGACTAGCAGCGATTACTGTAATGTTGTGCATAAATAGCCGGGCTTATTCCTGTAAAACCACGGTTTATTCCTGTAAAACCCCGGCTTATTCCTGTAGAAGCCGGTGTAATGGCTAGGCTTCTATTCACATCAGGCTTCTATTCAAACCAGGTATTTCTATGTGTGTCAACACTTAAACTAGACGTTTGTGCCGACAGTGTATCTTGAAAATCAGGCTTCTATTCAAAACAGCCTTCTGTGTGAGGCAGGCTTTAATACAAGACACTACGTGTGCGTGTACATGTACTGTCTGGGATGCTGTCAGTCCTGAGCGTAGTGTCATGTCTTCCCCTTGATTCTGTCTTCCCATTACGTTCCCTGCTGGACTGTGCACTTCAGCATAAAAAATAATTTAAAATATACATTATATATTACACCTAGAACATTAACGGCCAAGCTTGGCCGCACCAAACATGACACTTTACTTGAACAATTTCAACCCAATTATACTATCCTTCTGTACACACAAATTAGGCTTATACAGACGCTGACAGATGGCTTCCAAAACTTTTAACTGTAGTCCATGACCACGGCACAATACAGTGAAAGAAGAGTCGGAATACGAATTGCAACAATCAGGACTAGCCAACAGATGATTGTACACTGAAGACTCATTACCACGAAACCTACGCACAACACTAACATTCTCACCGGCACTCTCACGATCACTACAATCGTCGCTCTCCGACTCATTGCTCCCTTCACCTAAGTTAGAGAAATAACACTAAGAACAACAGCAGTGAAATTTACAAGTGTGAATTTTAACAATGAAAGCGAGAGCAATATTATATAATTTATTTTTCACTGCTATCAGGTTCCGCCTCGATTTATCTGTGCTGCGCTGATGAGTCCACAAAGGACGAAACACTTCTGTCCGCAGATTGAGTAAATATATAATCATCCACCACCACACTACACCGTTGCGCTCTCCGGCCGACCTCAACATATTGCCACAGCGCACCATCAGCAAAACGACACTTCAGTTGGTACTCTGCTTCTTCAGACAGCAGCTGTTTCGATCATCTGGATCCGAATGCTGCTACTTGCCCCTCTTGATTTCAATTATATAAAACGAGAGAGCTTGGAAGCTCAGGGCCCTACGCTATGCTTTGTTGCTTAGCTCATCGTGCATGTTGTTAGAACTGATGGAAATATTTCCTTGGACCGGCGCTGACTCTGCCGATCACGGGCGTTCTGGAGTCGACGGGATGTCTGTCCTCACGTTTCCTGGGACCGGCGCTGACTCTGCCAATCACGGGCGTTCTGGAGTCGACAGGATCTCTCTTCCGACGTTTCCTGTGACCGGCGCTGACTCGCCCGTTCACGCTTATTTTGGAGACGACGGGATCTCTCTTCCAAAATATGTTTTGCTGACGCATCCTATCACCTATTCGGCAACTAACGTCCATTCTAATTGCATTTCCTCGTCTCCCTATTTCTTTCCAGAAAGTCTCCCTATACAACAGGGAGTCGTATACATAATACGACGAATATTGTGGCCAGCTGTTTGTGGCCAGCTGTGTTTGATGGTACGGTGCGGTACGGGACAGATACGGGAGCCAGAAAATATTGTGGCCAGCTGTTTGTGGTGAGCTATGTTTGATGGTACGGTACGGTGCTGGACAGATACGGGATAGCGCCAGGCGTGACACAAACAAACAAACAAATAGATACCAAATTAAAGCTGTGTGGACCCTGGCTAGCGCCAGACGTTACTGAAGTAACGTCTTCTGCATAGCTACGGGAATAAAATAAAACTTTTTTTAAAGTCAGTCTGCGATGTGTTCAGTTGTGCAATGATGTGCTTTGGTCTGTTTCCTGTGTTAGCCATTGCGCCCAACGTGGTGTCAGGACAATACTCTAACATCTCCGGCCTATTGTCAATTGTCTGGCTAAGCAAAGGCCACACCAGCCCGCAGGCATTCCATGTTATAGCCGAATCGTAAGTTTGGCCCTGAGCAATGTAAAACAGCCGCCTTCTCAGACAGATGGTCTTTCCACACTGGTCTGTGTGTGCATGTGTGTGTTCGTGTGTGTTTGTGTGTGTGTGTGTGTTTGTGTTTGAGTGTGTGTGCGTGTGTGTGTGTGTTCGTGTTTGAGTGTGCGTGTGTGTGTGTGTGTGTGTGTGTGTGTGTGTGTGTGTTCGTGTGCATGCGTGCGTGTGGGTGCGTGTGTGCATGTACACTACATTGACACAGTGTTATTCTCTTGACGACCATGGCACTGTGCCACAACACTCCATCAGTAAAGCAAGATTTCACTAGGTGTTCATCAGATTTATGCCTGCTGAGCTTTCTTCTGTTTGTCTGTTTGCCTGCATGTGTGTGTGTGTGTGTGTGTGTGTGTGTGTGTGTGTGTGTGTGTGTGTGTGTGTGTGCGTGCACGTGTGTGCGTGCACGTGTGTGCGTGCACGTGTGTGTGTGCATGTGTACGTGTGTGTGCATGTGTGTAACCCAATTAGGAAGAATGCAATATACACAATAGTAGCTGGCGGAACGGAAAGAGAAGTGACCACTCGTGTTCGCCCAGGCGTCTACAAAATCAATGTGAGTGAGACTGGGCTAAGGGCACCACCGCTACTACTGGGTTGGAGGTCTATGAGTAGTGCAGTGCTTCTCTCTCTCTCTCTCTCTCTCTCTCTCTCTCTCTCTCTCTCTCTCTCTCTCTCTCTCTCTCTCTCTCTCTCTCTCTCTCTCTCTCTCTCTCTCTCTCTCTCTCTCTCTCTCTCTCTCTCTCTCTCCTCATACACACACACACACACACACACATGCACGTACTCACACACACACACACACACACACACACACACACACACACACACACACACACACACACACACACACACACACACATTAACTACAACACACAGCAACTTGCGGTACGGGGGAGTGCCGGCCAGCGGAGTGAGAGGCTACGGAAAGAAATACGTATACACTGCCAGAGCAGAATGTTGGCGGAGCCAAGTATCTACGAGAGAGGATTCAGGGTCGGCCGGGTAGACACTGCCGAAGCAGAATGTTGGCGGAGCCAAGTATCTACAAGAGTCTGCGTCCGAGGGACGGCGACCGAGGGCCCTGAGTAGCCGGAAATGAGCTTGGCCAACACCCCGTTTATTCACTTTATCAAAGCAAATTAGTGATGAGAAATGGGAGGTGGGAGGGTGAAACACTACGAGCAAGCAAGAATGATCGTCGCGCAGAACGGATCGAAAATATATAGCAGAGCAAGCTCTAGCAAGACATGCAACGATGCATGCCACCCACGTTGAGTTACAAGCAAGCGCCATCATAACACCCGCGCATCGGAGGCGAGCGACACGCATGAACGCCACGTAAAGAGACACGTTCAATGTCACGTAGAGAGATGCATTCAATATCATGCAGAGTGCCAAGCCGCACAGAGACCATAGCCAGCAGCAAAGCGTGAGCATGCAGTAACAGCACTATCAAACATAGCAGCATAGATTGAGCGGTAGCAGAAAGCTGCGTGCACCCATTAATCTGCATTATCACCATAATGCTACACACACACACACACACACACACACACACACACACACACACACACACACACACACACACACACACACACACACACACACACACACACACACACACACACACACACACAAACACACGCATCTCTGTTATTTTATGCCTCGCATGCACGGTCAACATCCAGATGTGAGTCGACTCGTTGACTTTGAAACATTCTGGAATATACCAGTGCTACAGTAACCATGGCGATGCCAAAGTAGCCGACTCGGCAGCTTTTTTGTGGCCAGTTGGAAGTCCTATTCGCCACAGCTCAATGTATATTGTATTCATATTTAACCGATTGTCAGAGTTAACAGATGTTACTTTAAGTATTGTGAGGTGCGAGGTGTCCTATTCTAGAAATTTGTCATTTGCTTGTGTTGTCATGCTTTCCATGTGGCTGCCTGGTGTCTTGGAGTTGTGAACCAGTGTATGTCTTGTTTTTGTGTGTATGCTCTTTGTGTGTGTGGGGGGGGGGCGGGGGGTGTGCGTGTGTGTGTGTGCACGCGCGTGTGTGTGCATGCGTGTGTGTACGTGTGTGCGTACGTGCACGTGTTTGTCCTTGTTTTGGTCATATCCTCGCTATCCAGGTGACGTCAGTATACCCCGAGACCGTCGTCTGTTCCAACACGTTGTCCTATGAAGTGCACGCATCACCAGGACAGGTGAAGACTCCAGGTGCCTTCAGTGTCCAAACTGGCACCGTTTCCAACTCTCATCTGCTGCAGTGGAAGCCAATACCTCACGCCCTCGCCTATCAGGTAATGCTCGAATGAAGTGTACTGAATGTGTGTGTGTGTGTGTGTGTGTGTGTGTGTGTGTGTGTGTCCCATATGGTGCAGTGGTATGTGCAGCGATTTCCAATCGAGAGGTTGCGGGTTTGATTGCCGACGATTATGGTCACACACGTCTTTCTTCTCTTTCTCAGACTCCTCCTGACTTTTCTTTCATTCTCCTGGGTGGTTACCAACAGCCAGTGCATGCCGGAGTATGTGGGTGATGTGTGTGCGTGAAAAAAAATAAAAAATAAAAAAGACCAAAAAGTAGGGATTCACTGGCCAGAAAAAGCCACTTCATAGCTGTGTGGTGTAGACCAGGCTGAATAGTGGCGGTCAATTCTTCAGCCTTGCAAGCTGTTGAATGGTGCAATCCCAGCACAAGTTGCTATGGCTTCTGCTGTAGCATCGCCATCATCGCCTCTGGCGATGGGCGTCAAATGGTCAAATGGTGTGTGTGTGTGTGTGTGTGTATGCAGGTGTGAAAAAATGAAAAATAGTGATTCACTGGCCAGAAAAAAGCCACTATAAACAGCTGTGTGGTGGATACCAGGCTAAAATTAGTGACGGTCAATTCATCAGCCTTGCAAGCTGGTGAATGGTGTAATCCCAGCACAAGTTGCTATGTCTAACATAGCTCTTCGCTATCATCGCTTCCGGGATGGGCGGGTCTGAGGTCTGATGTAGATGTATGTGTGTGTGTGTGTGTCTGTCTGTCTGTCTGCGTGACTGTGTCTGTCTCACTGCGTGGCCTTGTCCCGATGTGGTTGTTTGTGTGTGTCTACATTATGTGTGCAATATGGAGGTTTTGCAAGACAATTTTTGCGTTCGTGTTCGCACTGCTATGATGGTCGAAATTCTCGTTATGATGCGGATTAGCAACCGGAATTCGTACTTGCATGCCGTTGACAGGTTGTACATGGGTACGGACAGTAAAACGCAGTGTACTTATCACTGGCCGATTCGTGTTTCGACCGCTTATCCGAACGAAAAGTGCGAAAGTTCGGTATCCAGAACGCGAAATTCATGATGCTAAACCTCCGTAGTGTCCCAGGAAGCGAGCGTTAGTTTGAATGGTCTCTGCTGAGATGATACCCTGTACACCATAGCGCAGTGGTTAGAGCATCGCTGGCCTCTGGCCAAGGTCACTGGTTCTAGTTCTGGTCGGAACAGTCATGCTTTTCTTCAGACATTTTACCTTATCAACTCCCTCTATTGGGGAATACTTGAAAAATTCATATCAAATGTTGGTTACACACAGAGTACTCTAGTAAATACTGAACTGTTTCACACTGAACATGAACATGTGTGATGCACATGCCCTGGATAGAGAGGAGAGCTGGATAGCCACTGTGTTGTGATTCCCACGTATGTGTTTTGTCCTGAACTGCCACTTGTCTTGGGTTCTTCTCTCTCTCTCTCTCTCTCTCTCTCTCTCTCTCTCTCTCTCTCTCTCTCTCTCTCTCTCTCTCTCTCTCTCTCTCTCTCTCTCTCTCTCTCTCTCTCTCTCTCTCTCTCTCTCTCTCTCTCTCTCTCTCTCACACACACACACACACACACACACACACGTACACGTACACACCCGCAGGTTGCTCTAATCAGTCGCAACACACTGAGTATCAAGAAGCGTGTCCCGGCAAACCAGTGTTCTACAACTCAATGTTCGGTGAGCCTTGAGCACCCGAATGACGGAGGAGTTTACTTCTATCAGGTCCGCGCTGAGAACACTGAACATGACACTGGAAAATTCTCCTATTTGACGGGAAGCCCCGCAGCAACTCAATCGCCACCGTTGTCAGCTCCGGAGAGTCTGACTGTGAAGTGTCCCAGCAATAACCACTCACTGACACTGACCAAGTGTGCACTCACCTGGCACTACAATCAGCCAATCGATGTAAGTACACACATGTATAGTGTCAGCCGTATTATGGGTAGTGTGTGTGCGTCATTAATATTATCTTCCTATCATACCCTGGTTTCTCATCATTGTGTTGCTTTTGCCCGTAAAAAAGAGGCTGTTCACTAACTAAAAAAAACCGTGTGCGTCCTTATTTGGGCGGTGTGTCTTTAATAACAGGGTTTAAAGGGATACTGTCAACGGACTCCATGCCTACCATCATGACCATCAACTCCATGCCTGCCATCATGACCATCAACTCCATGCCTGCCATCATGACCATCAACTCCATGCCTGCCATCATGACCATCAACTTCAGCTATCACTCTGTACCTACTTGTACTAGTGCTGTAAAGTACTGCCAGAGCGTCCCACCAATCGTCCTTTCATGGCCGCGAGTGTGTGAGGTGGTCTGTACTGGGGTCATACACACACCTACGCAGCGACTGTCGCAGTGAAGCAACAGCGGCTAGGCGAAGGTAAATTCCATGCTGATCGTGCTGGCTGCAGCGCTGGGCACTGCAGTTCACATGGCTCACCGTACAGGTAGAATGCGACGCAATCCCAATGTTGCAAAAACAATGTGAGCCCCGTACGACTTCAGTCACACCAGACCATACAACGCTCACTTCTATGGCGGGAAACGA